CATGTATATTTAGTCGTTTTGGCTAGGTATTTGCCATATATTTTGGTTATGTTGAATTGGGGTATTTTGGGCATAAAAATCATGTATGTTTGGTCATTTTGTTGATGTGTGGTTGATTTGTTTTGTCATTTGCGGCATTTTGATGAGTAGGTGTATTTTGGGTACAAAAATAATCAAATCTTATAAAAAATGTTGTTTGAGGGTAATATAGTCATTTTGCACAGTTAATCAGATGAAAAATCAAACAATAAGTTTCAGTCAGAAGTTAACTCGGTCAGAACTTCTAACTCAGTCAGCTTCTAACCCAGTCATTTCTAACCCAGTTAGCGACTATCAAACGACCTCTTAGTTTGTGATATACGACAAACTCGTCATAAAAGAAGATAAACTCAGAGGGATTAAACATAAAACCCGCCATAAGAAAAGATAAGCATATAGGGATTAAACATGCCAATGCTGACATACGCCAAGTAACATCCTCCATAGCACATATCATAATATTGTCCGTTTTGGGCCACCCGAAACAAAACTTCCCAGTGGGTCACCCATCATGGAATCACTACTGTCAAAGCATATTTAAATACAAAGTTCTTTTGAGATTTGCTTCCCTCACGACTTTAAAATGTGCATTATGACAGGGAAAATATCCACACTTCTTATAATGAATGTTTACTTCTCCTTCATAGTGTAACGTCCCAAAAATTCAAAATAATTTTTTTTAAATAGAATAAAAACCCATTTTATTAAAGTTACATTCAAGTAAAACCATTTATTCATAAACCATAATTAAAATCAGAGTTATAAGGAAGACAATACAAAATCTCGAATCATAAAACCGTTGATGCGTGTGTACAATCCCGCCTTCGCAATTCGTTAAGTATCTGAAAAACATTTAATTCATAATTATAAGCACAAAGCTTAATGAGTTCCCCAAAATATCACATACGACTCAACATAATAATCAACTATGGGTTATTAGCAACCGTAAGACTATCAACAGTCCTAATATCATGTACACTACAACAATATAAACAACTATGAGTTATTAGCAACCTTGGGACTATCACTGATCACATGGGCTCATAACAACCCTATGAGTTATCAGCAACCTTGTAGGTTATCAACAACCTAGCGGACTATCAACAGTCATGGAGTTATCAACAACTCAGATACATATAACATCAATCAACAGATAAGAATCAACTAGTCTAACATGCACACCACTATCACATAGGTGATATACTGAGAAGACTCACCTGAACAAATAGCTGAAATCCACTACTCAAAGTCCCACAGAATCAACTACACGAACCTCCTAAACCAAACACACGCTAAACCTCAGACCATAGCTTACCACCCCTCAAAGTTTGACCAACAGTAAAAGGTCAAAAGTCAACGATAAAAGTCAATCCCAATCGATAACCACGTCGTAGCCACCTATTGGTCACATCGTGTCAGCTTCTCGACAGAACAGTCGGGCAACCACCAGTCGCCCACGTCATAACGAGCAGACTGCCACGTCGTGGAAACTGGGTTTTCACAGCCTAATGGATTAAGCTCCTAATACATCAAGACACCTATTCATATGCTCCAAAAAGCTTCCTAATGTATAATACGACATAAAGATCAATGCTTTTCAGTCATGCATGTCCAATGCAAGTCTAACACTCAAACTAGGTCAAAATGGAGAAATAAAACCAAGATCTCATGCATGGAGCTTAATACACCAACAAACTTCAAATCTAGAACATATGTCTGCCAAGGGATCTCAATGATCCATAAAGTTGCTAAATTTATGGAATTCATGCACTCAACTCAACCTAAACATGTAGAAAAGTGGGTAGAAACCTAGATCTAGCATGATATAATGAGAAATGTAAGATCTTGAGGACTTACAAAAGTCCAGAAATAGCTCAAGATGATGATGGAGAGGTTTGCTTGCTGGAACAATGCTCAAGAACACCTTCTTCTTCTTCTTCTTCTTCTTCTTCTTCTTCTTCTTCTTCAAGGGCTAAAATCACCACAAATAAATCACAAGTTAAAAATGGAGGCTAGGGTTTCTTGGAGGGTGAAGGGAGGTGACGGAGGCTGAATGTGTGCAAACCCTATCCCTCACTTCCCTTAAATAGGGGCACAAACCCCAGAATTAGGGTTAAACACTCAAGTGGCCACCACGTCGTGACCATCAACTTGTGACGTTGTGGCACACAAGATTGATGTGCATTTTATACAGCCATGGCCATGTCGTGGCACAAGGTTTTTCCCAAAAACCCCATATTTGATCCCATTAAGTCTTTAGCCGATCTAATATGGAAAACGGGTATTACACATAGACGATGTGTGATCAAGTGTAGGTAGTCACCCGCCTTTACCCCTTTATAGGGTTCGCCATCCATGTTGAACACATCAACACAAGCCCTAACTTTAATACAATTTGTAACATTCCTCATAGCACATGCATTGGTGTGATCAAGTGTAGGTACCCCCGACCTTTACCCCATTTATAGGGTTCGACATCCCTGTTGAGTGTTGAGCACATCAATACATGCCCTAACTCTAATATAATTTGTAACATTCCTCATAGCACGTGCGTTGGGCCACCCGACACAAAATCTTCCAAGTTGATAACCATCGTGGAATTGTTCTCGTGTGAAAAAGCATAACTACAAAGCTTTTACGAGATATGTTTTCCTCATACCCTTGTAAGAAAATACGTATTCTCTTTCCCAACCAATGTGGGAATAATACCTCTAGTATTAATGATAGCGTGAAAGAATTTTGTATTCTCATTTCCCTCGACATCCCATCTAACTCGTGTATTTTGTTTAAGGCAAAGCCTATTTATTGTATCTAATTTCATGATACAGTTTTTGAATTACTTCTTTGCATCTTTCAGGGGAGACTAGCTAAAGGTTTACATTCAAGAACCATTTTCACTCCATCAACTTTTGATAATATCCATGACATCAGCTTGTTCTATAGATCTTGAATTACCCCTACACACTTTAATGGTAGATCTCACGACCTTTAATTTGTGCAACATCACTTGATCCCATTTCCCAATATGATATGATCCAAGCAAAAGCATTGGACACAACCTCTATAGTTTCATCTAAAAGTAATCATGAATTGAAATTTATTAAAGGTATTGGGACATAATCCACTACTGGACTTACAACAATTAATAGGTTATGATCTAAGTGCAACATTGGTAAAGCTATGACTCAAGGAGTATCCTAACAGGCCATAAAACTATTGTAAGCCAAAAGCGAGCCAACTTAGTTAACCTCATCATCCCTCACATATGTAATAGAAATTAAATATACTCATCTATATTAAAAACTTTGTGGCGTATAAGAAAACTCTCATTTATATTAAAAAAGGAAAAGAAAAACGGAAAGTAAACTCATGTTTACCAAAGAAAGATTTTAAGTGGGTGAACATCTCGTGCAATGTTTAAAGGGTTTAGATAGTGTTTGTGATTGAGTTTCAAAAGTGCTTAGGCCAAACGGTATAGAAGCCACGATGCAAAATTATGGCCATGTGGAGGTTGTACCACGGTCGTGCATACCATCCCTAGATCCACGGCCGTGATGGTTTGTGGAGAGTGGCAGGGATATATATGCACAAACCAAATAGAAAGTCTATATCTATTTTAATTTGTCATTTGTCGTTCATCCTCTCTCTTCTTTCTCTCTTCCATAACTGTGTCTATATAGGGAGTACTCCATTTAATCATCCATGTTTCAGTGGTGGTGATTTTGGCTGAGCCGGAAGAAACCCACGCCCTTTGGCATGGGTTGTATACCTTATGACCTTATTGACTTATTAGTTTTCCAAAAACAAAGATCCTACATATGTAAACATCCTACAATATCACAATTTCTACAACTTTAATAAATAAAGATCTTTTGGCACATGTCATCATCTCATTCATTTTGCCACGTTTTAATTTGTGGTCATTTTAAATTAATTTATGTCCACATGTCATTTTATGGGTTTTCCATTTTATTAAATTTCATATAGTATTTGAATATAATAATTACAATAAATGTAATAACAAATGAATATCTATTTCATTAATGGACTTACCTTCCAATTTCAAAATTCTTAAGGCTGATGGGTGTCATACCACACATACCAAAGTTGTGTATTGCCACTTTATTTTTTCCTCACCCTATAAAACTAGTCACAACACACATTGCTACACCCACAACAATACACATTATTATGCACAAAGTAACACATTTGAAGGTTATACCGTGCGATGAAACCATAATGTGCGACAAGTTTACCACAGTGGAGCAAAGGGGGTCGGTGCAATGTTTACCACACACCGCAATGCCACATCACATACCCTGATGGGAGGTATCATGTGCACAGAGGGGCCTAAATTAAAGACTCATTAATTTTTTTGTTTATTTATTTAAATTATTTGCTTAAATTTAAAAGAGAAAAAAACTCTTCAATTTTAATAATTCAATATTTTTCTTATTTTTTTTTATAAATTCAAACTTTTTATTCAACTTTTATATTTAACTTTTTTTTTATAAATAAGTTCATATAATAATAAATGAGTCAAACAAGTGTTATCTCAAACCAATCGTTATAGTCATTTTATTTAACAAATAAAACCAAAACATTTTAAAGTGAATATCATTTAAAATTTTATAATAAATTATATTTACGTTATTGCTCTTTCACATTCTAATTTGCATAATAGTTAGCTTATCATAAAAATATAATTCGGTAATTAAAATGTATTATACAGTATCAGTATACAAATAAATAGGTTTTAATAACAATACAAGATTTTTTTTTTCCTTGTACCAACTACCACGTTAGTATTTTTCTTCATATATACAACTTTAATCCAGTGACATCTGACCACGTGTCGTCCCGTAGCAGAGTATCCTCCCCCAATTGGGATCGTGAAAGACATTAAAGAAACCCTAATTAAAATTTGCATTCTCCCATATGTGTCCCACTCGTTTCAATGCCAACAGTATATATACTACATGGACTACATCACGTCAAACCCACCTGTTTGTAAATAATGTTAAAAGCTTAAACACTCGTCTGATTCAATTCTCCTCTCTGTCAAAACCAATATTCTTTCTTTTTCTTCGTCTCCACAGATCCCTATAATCATATTAGCCACTTCAAATTGTACATAAAAGCTTCGTTTTTTCTATACGTAAAGAGAGAAGAAGAGCTTTTTTGGGGGTTGAATCGCTTCCTGTTCTTGAATTTTGTTTGGGTAGCGGTTCCATTTATAGAAAACTTTGAATTACGATGGGGCCGCCGCAGTGCGTATTGGTGACCGGTGGTGCTGGGTATATAGGGAGCCATACTGTGCTGCAGTTATTATTGGAAGGTTACAAGACGGTGGTTGTTGATAATTTTGATAATTCGTCTCATGTTGCTATCCATCGAGTTCAGAAACTCGCCGGTGATTATGGACGTAACCTGTCTTTTCACAAGGTCAAAATTCTTTCTGGCCCCTTTTCAAATTCCACGTTCGTGGATAATTCTTCCCGAGTTTCGAGTTTTTAAAAGATTCGGTGTTTAGTTTCAGTCTAATATTTGCTTGCATGTATGATAATTGGGTTTTGAATTAAACAGTTGATTGACTAGGTTCTTTACTGGATTGAAAATCGACAGTTTTACCCTTAGAATTTTGCTATGCATTCCTTTCAGAATTGATTTTGTATCCGACAACTCAATTATTAGATGTAATTGAGGATACTTTATGTCCTCGTTTATTTGATTGTAGTCCTTTTCAAAAAAATGATGACGATTTATCCAGTAAATATTGGACTTAGGGTTTTTCACTTAGATGTATTTACTTACTATCTTGAGTGTTTAATAAAATGTGTTGAATTGTTAGGCAGCCAAATTAAGTTGTGATTCAGGTAATGCCTTTTTAGAAGTTGATTGATGGTACAGTTTAGGTTTAGTTAGGAGTTCCAACTATGTTGGTGGCAAGTCTACATCCAACTTAAAAAGTTGGTTAAAAGATTTATTGTTAGAGCACCTCAGCTTTATCTTTTTTTTTTTTTCTTTCTTTTGAGCAAACTGCAAAACAATTATTTTTACAGCACCCCCTTACCTGGCCCACACCACCATAAATTATAAATTATGCTTTTTTTTTTTTAATCCTTATACCAAAGATTCTAATGTTTCTTCTTCACCACAGATTGACATCCGTAATAAGCCTGCATTGGAGGAACTTTTTAAGTCAACAAAGTAAGTTTTCCTTTCACAAACTATTCTTATATCTATTGGGATTTTTATTTGTTAAAAACTTGCCATAAATTAGTGGTTAAACTACTGAAATGATTAGAAATAGGTGGTATGGAGAAGTGTATGCAATTTGATTCTGATATCCATGCAGGTTTGATTCTGTTATTCATTTTTCTGGATTAAAGGCAGTTGGTGAAAGTGTGAAGAAGCCGTTGATGTATTATGACAACAATATCATTGGTACTTTAACTCTATTGCAAGTTATGAATGCCCATGGATGCAAGAAGGTATGCTCTATCCCTTTATTATTATTACACCCAAATCTGAGAAAAGACATGAACGCCCTCCTGATTGCATAATCTGTTATGAAACATTTCAGCTAGTGTTTTCATCATCAGCCACTGTTTATGGATGGCCAAAGGAGGTACCATGCACTGAAGATTTTCCTTTATCTGCAGCCAATCCGTATGGAAGAACCAAGGTATGATGATTATCAAATATCTATCAAGTGTTCATTTTTCAAGTGCTTGCTTATATTACTACTAAATACTAATGGAAGGAATGAATGAATGAATGAATATATCTTCAGCTGATGATTGAGGAGATGTGTCGGGACATATATGCTTCAGATTGTAAGTGGAAAATTATTCTGTTGAGGTATTTCAATCCTGTTGGGGCCCACCCTAGTGGTGATATTGGTGAGGATCCTCGTGGGGTTCCAAACAATCTCATGCCATTTGTCCAGCAAGTAGCAGTTGGTAGGCTACCTACACTTACAGTCTTTGGAACTGACTACTCCACCAAAGATGGAACAGGGGTATGTATGCTACGTTAATGTTTCTACTCTTTTCATTATTCTCAATCTTTCATTTCTATTTCAGTAAAGATTTATGCTTTCTGCATCTATCTATACTTTGGGTTGGTTTCTTTTTTTGTGTTATATGCTCTGTTTCATAAAACTTGAAACATTGTGTGTACTATGCAATGATTGGGAAATGTTGGAATTTGAAATTAACTTGTTTTGAGTTTCTTTCTAAGATTAGAAGTAAGGGAGTGATAAAGGATATAGTGGCACATTAGGCTCCACTCTGTTGTTGTTTGATGGGAATTATGATGTTGATATTTACCCTCAAATTTCAGGTACGTGATTACATACATGTTGTAGATTTAGCAGATGGACACACTGCTGCTTTGATGAAACTCTCGGACCCTAAAATAGGTGTGTATCTCTTTCTGATTACAGATGACATTTTGTAGTTTTGGAAATTTTCTTCTGTTTGGCATTAAATCAAACCATTATCTGTTTTTTAGGCTGTGAAGTCTACAACTTAGGAACGGGTAAAGGCACATCAGTGTTGGAGATGGTAGCAGCTTTTGAGAAGGCATCAGGAAAGGTATTACAATTACAATCTTGAAAATATGTTATCAAGTTTCTATCCACTGTTCATAAAGAAAATCTACTTGTATGTATTTGTTTATTTTAAGAAAATCTACCCAATTATAGCAAAATCTCATCCAAATCCCAACAATTTTCACTGCTAAATAATAATAATAAAACCGAAAGTAGAATGGTGTATAGATAACAGGGTAGATTTTGAATAATGAGAAATTTTTATGAGTAGAAAGGCTTAGTAGATGTAATGTTTGTGTTTGTCCAGCGAATTCCTGTTGTGACAGCTGGGCGTCGACCTGGCGATGCTGAGGTGGTATATGCATCAACAGAGAAAGCAGAACGCGAATTGAACTGGAAGTAAGTAGTGATCATCTTGTATTTACGGCTAATATGAAAGAACATAGACATCATGTGAATGTGATATCACCTTTAAATATTATTGCCTATGAAAAGTAAAAAAAAAAGATAATTTATTTATGGTTATGGTTAATTGGTTATTGCAGGCCAAAGTATGGGATAGATGAGATGTGCAGAGATCAGTGGAATTGGGCGAGCAAGAACCCGTATGGTTATCTAACCAAAGATGAAGATGAAGCCAAATCCAAATCCAAAGCCAAAGAAAAGTAACACAGCTTTTGCACTTACTACTTACTATTAATTAGGGTTTCTTTCTTCTGTAATTAATTACTAGTTGGTTGGTTTCTTCTTTTTTAATGGTTTTTGTCATAGAAGTTAAGGTAAGGTAGCCCGGCTAACGCAGAAAGTAAAGCATGGTAAAAAAAAAAAAAAGTCCATTATCTCGTACAAATAGATGGGTTTCTAGTTTCTTGTATATGGAATATTTATGGTATTTGTGTAGCAGTGGGTAGGGATATGGTGTCCTTTCTTTTATTCGTTATGTTAAAAAATTATTTCAGTAAACATTTATGCTTTCTGTATCTATACTTCCGTTACTCTTTTAATTTTCTTTTTGCAATCTTATATATGTTGTGTTTTATGGTTTTACCACACAAAGACGGTGTATTTTTGCATCAAGATTCACAATCATTGTTTGTTAATTAATAAGCATGATATCTTAACTAGGAGGTTAAGTTAGGTTGGCTCTTTTTATGTTTTTGATGTATAGATTTGCTGGAATATACCAGACAAATACTGTGTTCCGATTCTAAATAAAATAGATTGGCCGATCTCATTTGTTTTAAGCCATGGTTGGACTATCATCTAATTATAAAATATATTCCAAATCAGTGAGGTTTCCAAAGTGTTATAAAACGCGTTGACGCTTGAAACATCAACGTCAAACCAAATGAAAAGGTACATGCACGTCAATACAAATAATCTATAGAATATGAGTAATATAAACACTTTCGAAACAAATAAAACTATAAACAAACAACAAAGAGGACAAATATTTGTAGACTTTGACTTCATAAATAACTTATAATATACTCTTTGTTAATGTATACTTTTTATCGGGTGCTTACAAATCTAATCCCTATAATATACTATATGTTTGTAATTCACTCTATAAAACAATTACTCGTATAAGCTAAATAGATTTTTGAAGTTTCCTTATTGACGAACGCAAACCTATTGAGAAATTGATCATCCTTAAATAAAATGGACACCTCTGACCTCTCATAAACTTCAAACTTTGACCCAATAACAAACTTATGGTATGGAAGAAGGAGTGTGTACCAAACTTATGGAAGAAGGAATGTGTATAGAAAAGAAATTTAAATTTATGAAAACAATGCAATTGGGGTCCATTTGTCAAGGTCTCGTTATGCTTGAAGTCAACAATTTAGCGATCGATTCTCTTGTATATATACAATACAAACCCTCTTCCTGTTGAAACAAGCTTCTCTCTCTCTCTCTCTCTCTCTCTCACACACACACACACACACACATCAATGGAGAATTTGATAAGCTTAGTGAACAAATTACAAAGAGCATGCACAGCATTGGGTGATCACGGAGAAGCGAGTTCATTGCCAACTCTTTGGGACTCTTTGCCTTCCATCGCTGTTGTTGGTGGTCAGGTTAATTATCTTCTAATTAATTCCATCTCTTTTATACTTTTCCTTTATATCTGTGAATTTCATCAGATACACATCTTAGATTTAGCTCATAATTATAAATGCAGAATAATCAGTAAAGATTCTTGCTTTCAGTTTAGAGACGCAAGCACCCATAAATAAATGTATGCGTTCATGCATGTGTCTCAACAGAATCAGCTTTTTCAACCGACTAAATGAAGAAGAATGTGTCTATATCTGTTATCTGTACTGTACAGTGTACACCCAACTTTCTTTATTGAATCGAACACCCATCTTTGATGTCTTTAATTGTGCATGTGTAGGAAGTAGAATTTTACATCTTCAGATGAGCAACTATACGTATCATACAAGGAAGTTTCTATCTTTTTTATGGGTTTGTTTTGTATTCACTTGATTCGTTGTCTAATTTTGACAGAGTTCTGGGAAATCTTCAGTTTTGGAAAGTATTGTTGGCAAAGACTTCTTGCCAAGAGGATCAGGTATGCCAATGTCATATCATCTTTACTCAATAATTCGAATCAAGAAATGATGATCGATGTGGTATGATTGCTATATCCAGGAATCGTTACTAGGCGCCCACTGGTTTTGCAGCTTCATAAGATAGATCAAGGCAAAGAATATGCAGAATTCCTCCACCTTCCATCAAAAAAGTTTTATGATTTTGGTATCATCAACTGCCATTATTCTCAGTTGTTTCCTTCATGCATATTGATCATGGTTTTGTTAGATAAGTAGTGACACAATTGTGGTGATCTTATAATTATAATGTGTAGCTGCTGTAAGGAAAGAGATTTCAGATGAGACTGATCGTGAAATGGGGCAAACTAAACAAATTTCAAGTGTTCCCATTCATCTTAGCATCTATTCTCCAAATGGTAAATTTATAACATTCAATGTTATAATATAAAACTAGCATAGGCCATTACTGAATTTGGAATCCATTTTGATGAAATCATTGATCTCAACAGTGGTGAACTTGACTTTGGTTGATCTTCCTGGACTCACAAAAGTTGCAATTGGTAAATGAAGCAGATATTTCATTACTTTTTAATGGAATCAACAGTCATGAAATGAGCTCCTCCTAATTTAAATCTTGAATGAATGTAGATGGTCAATCTGAAAGCATTGTACAAGAGATTGAGGATATGCTCCGTGCCTATATTCAAAAGGTTGACTATAATCTTGGATGATAAAATGAGTACACACTCTTGGGTTTCTTTCTGTTAATGGAATTTAAAATTTCTTGATGCAGCCAAACTGCATTATTCTGGCTATTTCACCTGCTAATCAAGATCTGGCTACATCAGATGCAATCAAAATGTCACGTGAAGTGGACCCCACAGGTACCAGAATGCATTTAAATTCTCAAACTTGAGTCTCTAAAACACCTTTGAATGCTAAGTTATGAGCTTAAGATTTGAATTGCCACTTTAGGAGAAAGAACTATTGGAGTCTTGACCAAAATTGATTTGATGGATAAGGGTACTGATGCAGTTGATGTAAGTTAATCTGCTGAATGATATCTTAAGTGTTATTGGTGGGGTTCATCATCATCTTATCTATGTTTTCTTGTTTTTTTTAGATCTTAGAAGGAAAATCATATCGGCTAAAGTTTCCATGGGTTGGGGTTGTTAATCGTTCACAACAAGATATTAACAAACAGGTCGATATGACTTCTGCTAGACGTAGGGAGCGGGAATACTTCTCTAACAGCAGAGACTACAAACACCTGGCTCCAAGAATGGGGTCTGAATATCTTGCAAAGATGCTTTCAAAGGTAGTTAGTTAATCATTTAAGATGCTAAAACCAATGTGTTCTTGAAAGATGACTTGATTTACTCTCATCAGCATTTAGAAGGCGTGATCAAATCAAGAATCCCAGGCATACAGTCGCTAATCAGCAAAACGGTTGCTGATCTTGAAGCTGAACTTAGCCATCTTGGAAAGCCTATTTCTACTGATGCTGGTGTAAGTCTTGTGTGTGTATGTGTGAGGGTGCACCTAACAGATCTTGATGTTTATATATGGTTAAAAATATTGCAGGGGAAGTTGCTTCTGATAATGGATATTTGTCGGGCTTTTGATCAAATATACAAAGAACATCTAAACGGAATGTAAGTACTCGATCCTCAACCACTGTCTTTAGTTAAACGGATTGAATGCAAAAAAAAAAAAAAATTATTGATTTGTTTACAATAGCATCCGACTTTGACAGCATATTGTACATTGTTATTTACTGTTGTGTAGGCGATCCGGGGGAGATAAAATATACCATGTTTTTGAAAGGCAGCTTCCTGCTGCTCTTAAGAAGTTGCAGTTTGAGCAACAATTGTCAATGGAAAATATCAAGAAACTGATCACAGAAGCTGATGGATATCAACCACATCTCATAGCCCCTGAGCAAGGATACCGTCACATTATTGAGTCTTCATTAATCACCATCAAAGGCCCTGCTGAGGCCTCAGTCAATGCGGTATTTCTATTTCAAAACAAAATAATAGTAACATTCTTAATTTCTTGAAGAAAAAAAAAAGCTAACTTTTCAAGATTTTAGGTTGATATCATACTCAAGGAGCTGGTTCGCAAGGCCATCAGCGAGACCATGGTGGGTTAATGGGTTTTATCACATGTTTGGTTTCTTGAAAAAGTTTTTTTTTTTTTTTAATTAAAAAATAATAATTTGATTGGTTGTTTAGGAGTTGAAGCAGTATCCGAGTTTGAGAAAAGAAGTGGAGGGGGCTGCAAATGAGTCGCTTGAAAGAATGAAGAAAGAAAGTAGGAAGGCGACACTTATGTTGGTTGATATGGAATGTTGTTACTTGACGGCTGATTTCTTCCGGAACCTTCCGCAAGAATTTGAGAGGGGTGGAAACCCGACACAGTCCATTTTTGATAGATACAATGATTCGTACCTTAGACGAATTGGTAAGCTCCTCGTTTTATCATTTTCATTTTGTCGGTTTCGATAAGGGTCAAATTCAAGAAATAGCAACGTACTTTCACTGCTTTACTTTCATTTGTTTCTATTACACAACATTGTACTCTCAACAATCTACCCAATTATAGCAATGTCATCCAAATACAAAACAATTTTCACTGTTTTAATTGGGTAGATATTTCGAAATATAATGTCTTATCAAGAGAAAAGTACATACATTGCTATATTTCTTGCATTTAGCCCTATGTTTTACAACGAATGTTCAGCTAAATCATACTTTATATTGAAAACAGGAGCAACAGTGTTGCAGTATGTGAATATGGTTCTTGCAGGCCTGGTGAACTCGGTTCCAAAGTCCGTGGTTCACTGTCAAGTGCGTGAAGCCAAACGCAGCCTACTTGACCATTTTTTTGCAGAGTTGGGTCGAAGAACAGTAAGTTACTAGTCATTTGTTTGTGTTTTTTTTAGTAACAATAGCATATTTATAAAAACAACTTCTTCAGTTACTTTGTAAGTCATCTGTGACTGTATTTTCAAATTTCAACACCAATGGGCCTGTGTATTAAATATTAATAAGAATGGTTTATAATTATGCAGCCAATTCAGTTATCAAAGTTATTGGATGAAGATCCTGCGATCATGGAGAGGCGTTCGTCACTAGCAAAGAGATTAGAGTTATATAAAAGTGCACAAATGGAGATTAGTAGTGTTTCATGGTGATGAAGAGAAAAAACCATGAAAACTTGGTTATTTGTGCCTCGAGTTTTTTGGATTCATATATTCGTTAGGTATACAGTTTAGCATGGGATTAATTTTCACCAGTTGCAAAGCGCAAAGTGCAATGTAATATGGTTTTCCATTTGCAGTATTAATTGTGAAATTGTATTGGATATGATATAAAAAGGCATTAATGATAATGTGTATTCCTCCACAACATGTTTTCTTGTATGTTATCTGTCATTCTTAGGAAAACAAAAACAAAAGAATAATTTTCTGGTTTTCTAAGATAAATTTCTGCAAATAGTTATATGTGATTAATAGAACACTGATTTTATGATCTAAAATATATTTAATAAAATTAATTTTCAACTAAAATACAAGTTTATACTTTATACTTTATACAGTCCACTGAAATGGGCCTTATTTATGGATTTTACTGAAAAAAAAATTGTTGTTAAATCTTTGGGTCCCGGCCCAAGGAAAAAACCGGAAACCGCTTTCTCTGTCTCTTTCCTCCCTCCGCCGGACCGCCGCCCCTATTGCTTGGCGCCTCCGCCGTCAAGCCTGCCTCGCTGACCGTCTCCACTCTCCAGTATCGTCTTTGACTCTTCGAATTCGGCTTTAGTTTTCTCTTCTGTTCAGTGTTCATCCATCGACCATCGTTGTTGCGGCTACATACATTGTAAATCCCTTATTCTTCCAATCATCCTCCTTACTCCTTAATTCCATACTCTCTGCTCGATAACTCCAATCATTCAAGTCTCTACTTTCGTAACAAAATCTCAGGTAACTATTTAATCTCTGGTTCTCTGAATGTCTTTTACAAGTTTTTACCGGCCTGTTAACTTGTTTGGAAATATAATAGTTGTTTCAGTTTGGATTCTGTATAATATCTTTTCGAATATAGGGTTAGCATACCAGTGATTTGCAAGGTCTCCAAGAACATTTGCCCATCTCCGGTCCTGTTCTTCATCTATTGCAAACGGCGATTACAATGTGCACGTTCATATTTATTTATTCCGATTATCAGATAATTGCTTTCTATTTGCGCTCAAATTTTGTCCCAAAAGAAGTCGTTTGTTGTGTCCATGTTGCAGCGCGACGATGAAGAAAAAGGGATCATTTAACATTTATCCAACTGATAAGGAGAAGAATCTGTTTTATCTGCTGTGCCAAGTTATTCCTCATTTTAATCTTGAAACCCAGCTTCGTGTTGCTGGTGGGTGGGTGAGGGACAAACTCTTAGGGCAAGAGTGCAATGACATCGATATTGCCATTGATAACATGTTAGGGCATGACTTTTGTATGAAGGTGAACGAATATTTGGCTTCTACAGGAGAAGAAAGAAAAGAATTCATTGAGATTCGAAGCAATCCAGACAAATCCAAGCATTTGGAAACAGCAAGAATGCGTATCTGGATTGATTTTGTCAACTTGATTACACCCAATTCCAAAACAGCAGAATTCCAAGTATGCGATTTGGTTCTGCAGAAGAGGATGCATATCGAAGGGATCTTACCATTAATAGCTTGTTTTATAACATCCATACATGTGAAGTTGAAGATTTCACAGGAAGAGGATTAGATGATTTGAAGTGTAGGAAGATCATGACACCATTGGAACCAAAGAAGACATTCTTGGATGGATCCGTTGAGGGTTCTTAGAGCAATCCGGTTTAGTACTAGGTTAGAGTTTGAAATGGGGGAAGAGGTAAAGGTTGCAGCTGGAGACAATGATGTGAAATCAGCAATTGTTGGTAAAGTTAGCAGAGAACGAATCTGGCATGAGATTCATCTTATGTTAAGTGGGAACCAACCGGCTAAAGCATTGGGTTATTTATCAGACTTTGGGTTGTTTTGGGTTGTCTTCACACCACCTTCAAATTGCAAGCCTTTAATCTTAAAAGAAGACAATAAAGATAAAATCTGTGTAGGATATATGGATCTGGCATGGAGATGCATGCATGCGTGATTGTGAAGTGGGTGGATGTGGTTTTACAGATAAACAGAAGAGGGTGTATTTGTATGCGTCTTTGCTCCTTCCACTTTGGAAGACTGTCTACATAGATAACAAAAAGAAAACCGCACCCGTTGTGACCTATATTATCAACACTAGTGATGGTGATGAGGTTATGAGGCTGTATGATGCAGTTGACAAGTTTTTGTGTTTGATCCCTTTGATATTGTTTGGTGAAGATATGGAAATTCCTTGGGAAACTGATATTATTGAGGTTTCTGTGGCATCGAAAACAAGAATCTTGTTGGGTTTGCTTTTGAGGGAAATCAAAGGTTTATGGAGGGCTGCATTGATGATGTCTACTTTTTTGTTTAAGAATACTGCTGTTGAGGGTCTATTAGGGGGGGAAAGAAGGGAAGTGTTCATGAAGGTTGAGCAAGAAATCTTGAGATTAGGTCTGGAAAAAGTGTGGGAAATGAAAGCTTTGGTTAATGGGAAGGATATAATGAGGCATTTGGGGGTTGAAAAAGGGGGTCCAGCTGTTGGAAAATGGCAGAGAAGATTACTACAACTGCAACTTGCTAACCCTTCTTGTGGAAGTGTAAAGGAATGTTTAGATTGGATGACTGAGCAAATGAAGTTGGAGTAAATCAATGCCAATGGTGATCGTTTTTGATAGCAAGCATATAAATTTGATTCTTTATATTTCCTTTCAAAATCTAACTAATGTTGGCAATATATTATATCTTAGTAACTTGTGATGTTCATGTCATGGCTTTGAGAACCATTAACACTTTTATGCAAATTCCACCCACAACTTTTGGATGATGCATGTTTGTCTCCTTGATTACTAACTCAAAATATAGTAATTTAGAACATCAATCTGCATTTTCATTGAACCTGAGAAAGGGGTTTTCACTAAATGATCTTATTTCTAGGTTTCAAAAAGAAATTTATCTGGTGTATCATTGGTCTCACAAACAGTCCATGATTCAAGATCTTGATTTCATCACCAAAAAGTGGTTTATTAATGGGGTTTTTGTTTAAGTAAGAATGTTTGAATTTCTGATATCTTGATTGTGTTTCATTAGTGTAAAACTCTAAATTTGTTTACTTGGATTTGAATTATTCCTCCCTGAAACTGCAGTTTTTTTGGCTCTGATTATCAAATGAAAGGTAAGGTAGCCCAATTGAGTAAAAGATCTAATAAGTCAATTAACCACAATGGATGGGTTAAATGCAAGAACTAGTAATGTAATTCCATTTATTAAGCCACTACTACTGTACTTTAAGAATTATAGTTATTTCTTATTAGGATATAATCCACTAATAAATGAAAGTAAGTTGCTATTTGTTGGTAACAAATGGAAGTAACTTGTGATTTTTAGCATTTAATTTTTGGTTAAATACAAGAATGAAAGAAAACTATGGAAGGATTGTTGATTTGCCTTCTAAATTGTATTATAAGAAATGTTGCCTTCTACATTGCATTTTAGTTAACTATGATATGTTTAGTTTCAGTTTTTCTTACTTTTCTTATTATGTTGCTAATGTATTTTATGTTAAAATTCATATTTGAAGGATATTTTGGTTTTGAAAAGATTTTCTTTTGAAGAAAGAGCGGGAACAGATTTAAAATGCAAGAATCTGTACAAGCCACTCCACTGGATTCAAATTTGCGATAATGTGATTTTTCATAATTTACATATAAAGAATTTGTGATAATGTGATTTTTCCTGATTACCCCTTTGCCCTTGCAGACGTTGGTGGAGTAGAAGCATGTAATTCATCACCAATTGTATAGACAACGCGGTTATATAAGCATGTAAGTCGTCCGTATTCCGTATAATAAGAGGAGAGTTGTGGAATTAGGGTTTGTTCTTCCGCTTGTGTTTTCTCTCTTGAGGTTGTATCTTTAGTCTTCGGTCTTTTGGCTTGTTTGTCTATAAGTGATTAGAAGGTCTTTTTTTCTCAATCTGTTTATTTGTTTGTTTTTTTTTTTTTTTTTTCTGTAAGTTATCAAAAGTTTTTTGTTCTTTTCTCAAATTAAATATGTTTGTATTTTGTAAGCAGGGCTAGTCCATTAGTTTTGCATTCCTATGGACGGATGAATAATAATACCCCTATGTGTGTATCATTCAATGCGCCGAACACATACATAACAACAAATATATAATAAAAGTGCAACATTTTTATATCAACTCATATTAATACAAACAAAAACTTGAAAAAATGACCAAAAGGGGTGCTTGGGATTACTTACTTAAAACAACTTATGTTTTTTTAATTAATTTTTGTGATACTAATACAAAGTTCTAAAAAAGTGTTTTAATTAGCTTAGTACCAAAATGACATCCTTGTATATGTTATTGACTTATTTGTTTTTCTTTCGCATATAACACTTTATTTTTTTATCACTTGAAATAAAAAATTTGACAATAAATTTATTTTAATTCTTAGAGAAACAAAAGAAACAGTTGTTCACTGTTCTTCCTTATTTTGATTCCACCTACAACAACAATCAAAGAAATCCAAGGCATGACTAATTAATTTCTTAAAAAACAATTAAAAACTCGATAACCATGTGTTCATTATCTAGGGTAATTCATTAAGTGTAACATTCCAAAAATTCATGACAAAAAATTTCATTTTAAACCATTAAATAAAATCATAGTTATCAAACCATTCCATCAATAAATGAGTCAAAGTATTTCAAAACATTATCATCAGAGTTTCTAAATCAAAACATCATAGTAAACATCCCAGACTAAACATCATGGTGTGTGCAATGCAGTCATCCCGAGCTCTTCTCTTTGCAACTGGAAGTACCTGAACCAAAACTGAAAACCGTAAGCACGAAGCTTAATGAGTTCCCCATACTACCACATACCATACACATAATCACATATACTGGGCCCCCGCCCCTTCATCGGGCCCCGCCCGGCATCGGACAGTGTTCGGCAACAGACCCCGCTTGGCATACATACCTGTTCTCCCACGCCCCGCCTTTCACTGGGCCTCGCCCGCTATACACATACAAACAATAACATATAATCATGCTAGCACATAAAGAATCATATACAGTCGTATATGTTCCAATCCTAAGGCCTCGCCTATCATGGGCCCCGCCCCCACTCTGCTAATGATGAGATATGGAACCCCGTCCACACTCAGCTAGTGATAAGATACGGGGCCCCGCCCACACTCACCTCCTTACCAGACACATACAAGTATCACAAAGACAACAAGTATAAATAAACATGCATACATTCATCGGGTACCACCCAGAATCGGACCGTAATCCAAAAACATACAAATACAGACACATGCAAGAATCACGAAGACATCAAGCATACCAACATTCCTCGGGCACCACCTGACATCGGATTGTAACCCGGAAACACATAACATAAATACGGCCGACATTGGTGCCTTCGACCCATTCAAACATGAGGAAACTCACCTCGCAAAGCTGGATCTCACGGATAATCCTCTGGCTGCTAGCTGGTAGATCCCCGAACTGCTGATCTCTCGACTCCCCGAGCCACTAATCATCACATAAACTAGTTAAGTTCGGGATTCTCATAACTTAACCATAAGTCCTCACTGGGGTAAAAGACCATTCTACCCCTCACATACTCTTGTCCCAAAATGAACTCTACTCAACTCTTGGCCCAAAATAGGTAAACACTCCTACAAGGCCCAATACATGGCCCAATTTACAATTAGGCCCAATCCCTTCACATGGGCCTCAACCTAAGGCCCAATAATGCTTCTCTAGTCCAAAGGTTCAATTCCAGATGGCCTACTAAGGCCCAAGATACCAGCCCATGGAAATGGCCTAAACAACGCAAAGCCCAAATCCAATGAGTACGCGGGACGTACTCCTCTATACGCTAAGCGTACATGTTGTATGGCTTGTACGCTGCGCGTACAGGCTTGTACGCCTATCATACTGCTCGGTTAAGCCATTTATACCATTAAGCACTTAATACTTTATTCCAGATGCTAATATCACAGATCTAAGTCTTCTTCAACATCTTAATCGATAAAGTCACTGACTTGGTGACTTTACATGACCCAAATGAACCCAATCTCAAAGTATAGAAATCTACTTCCATGAAAATGGCCATAACTAAAGCATGGAAGGATTTTAATCCCAAAGATGACAACTTTATGATCCAATGACCCAGATAACACTGAGAATGGCAATTCTAAGTTCCAAAAACGACATGGACACAAGGGACTTCATCCATGGGACCAAAAGAGTCCATAAACCCAGTCCTAAAAGAGATCTAAGAGAATAACCACCAAGTTCAGAACTTTATACCTTGAAAAGGTCTAAAATGAAGCAACAATCCCAGATCTACAACTTCTCCTTTGCACCAACACCTTGCCTTGCCCTTAACTTCCTTGTAAAACGGATCAAAATGCCAAAATGCTCTCCAAAAGGCCTTTCAAGAACAAGAACACACAAACTATGGATTAGGGTTTCATGGGAGCTGTCTAAGGGTGAAAGGGAGGCTGGTCTGAAGGACATAATGTTCTTTATATAGTGCTCAACCCTAAAAATTAGGGTTTGAGGACTCTAAACATACGTTGGGCGTACACCTCCCACACCCACGCCCACTTATCCCTTCTACGTTGGGCGTACCCAGCTTACGCTGGGCGTACTCTCGCGAATGCCACCTTGCATGCATGGGATTTCCTTGCCACTTATCTCCATTAGGGACCAATATTGCCAATAACTTCAAAGCGTCATAACTTCCTCATCCGAGGTCTATTTCCAATGAACCTTATATCCACGAAAAGGTGGCAAGAAGCCCTACGCTGCCCAAGCCTTAAAACCTTCCTAGTAAAACCCAAAACTTATAAAAGACCGAGACATCCGTTTACAATCATACCCTTGGCTTCCGAAGACACGAACGAATACTTGGGTCACTCATGTCATGACCCCCACCTCCGAACTGGGCCAAATCCTTCCTTTCCCAAGGCCCTAAACCTTATGTCAATGATAATTGGGCCGCAGCCCCGAGCAATGAAACACTTTCAAAACTGAGTGTTACATTAAGTGCTTACTTAATCCACCCAATTTTTGAAGCATCTATGAACGAATATTTATTACAAAACATGACTCCAAGTTGTTGTCACTAATTAGTTTGGGAGAAAACCCAAGATCCATTATTCCTAACTAATATTTCGATAAAAGGGATGTCAAGGAATGAAACTGTTGTTGATCACAAAAGAAATGAACATATTAGTTAAAAACTGTAAAATAAAAAACAAAACAAGTATAGGTTGTTATCAATCTTGACTTTTATGATCATATGGAATCAATATTATAGACATATAGTTAAAACAAATATTCTTAATGATATTGATGTTCAAAAAAACTATAATCTTTCAAAAATTAATGGCCAAAAGCAAAATAGGCCACTAGCATCAATTCAATATGATGAAAACCAATTTATTTATTATTATCTACTCCCTTAAAAAAATAAGGGAAAATGACACAAATGTCCTACGAACTTTCTAGGGTTTACCCGTTGAATATCTAAAGTTTTTGTCTGGTTTCATGGGTCCCTAAACTAGGATATGACATGTTCTTTTAGTCCATGTCAACCTGTAATAGCCGTTTCAGTGACCTTT